CAGAGACAGTCTCAGTTCCTGCTTTTAAATGTTCCTTTGGTGCTGCATTGCATTAGCCGCAAGTTCTTGATTTTTGAAGAACTGGTAAAGAAGCAGACTCAGTATTTACGAGATGACATAGTAAGTTCAGAAGCATGGCCAGAGAATGAACTATCACTTGTTGGGAGTGTAGCAGTTACTGAAGAGATGTAGAAACTCGCAAGCGGTGATCAAGACGTACCACCCACAAATATCTAAGAAAGTAAATTACCTTCCTTTCGCTTATTTTCCACCCTCTCATCAGTCACAATCAAAGTTCGGTCATGGGTATAACTTGTGTTTGAATAGAGGGTTCCGGATGGGTCCTCCAAAGCAAAAACGGATTGTTGTTATCCTCTTTGCATTCGGGCTGCCCAAGTGACCGTCAAAGTCGCGTAACGGACTTTACACCATTGTCGAAAATATACAATTTCGTTTTATAACGGCCAAGGCAAATCGCCCTGGGTTAATTTAATCCCTTCTTCTCATACAGTGTTTTTGAGGTAAATGGCACTCACTTTATAACATCGGCTAAGGCTTTGCCTCAAACCCTGTCTTCGGTTTGCCACTGGAGGGGATTTCGGTTATGTTTAATAATGGGTTAGGATGTGGCCTTTTAGACGATTCTATTGGCCTTCTCAGCCAACTTTATTTTCTGCTCAAAAGGTTTAGGAACCGGAATATGACTACCACGTATGCAGGAAAATTACCCTAAAAGAATAAAGCCGGTGCTCGACCAGTCTTCTTTATTTATACATACTGCTGGAGCTAAGACTGTCGTCTTCCTTCGAGAATAAAATCTCACAGGGAGTTAAGAGCGGCGGCGAGTTAAAGCCAAAGCAAACAGAACGAGTGAAAGAATCATCCAAGCCTTTACTCATTCTATAACTAAATATCAAAAACGCACAAAAATGCACTATCTGCTTTAGTGTTCGGTGTTAATAGCACGTACATCTAGCTTAGCATGACGCCACAAATTGGTATGACCTCTGACCGTCACAAGGTGCCTACACCGTCAAATATGCTTCTTCCTAACCTCAGATCGAATACAATGCGCGTGTCCTAACTATAAGTTCTCACCTATACATAACTTGTCATCTGTAATAAAAATTTCAAGGCGACCGAATAACCCCCGAATCGGGTGGGTGCCAGTTTTGAATGTGTAGTTGCATCATTTGTTGCATGCAGGGATGTTTTTACCCTTTGCATGTTCCAATATATATATCTATGTGTATTTTTGATTTTCCTCTCTACGCTTTCTTGCACACCTGAACTTTTCTATACTGTTGTTTGAATATGCTAAAGTACGCACAATCAGTTTCGGCCTGTGCCAAGGCGTGTTTTGTGACAACCTGCTGCATGGTGTCGTTGCTTTATTGATTACGCTCACGTGCCTAAATACTTTTCAGTCAATTCCCACGATCAGTTTTTATTCCTCGGTTGTATCTCGCCGAACGTGAGTTTTCCTGAGCAAAAGGCTCTGCCAACCTGCCCCAGCGCGGAAATTTCTGGACTTTACTCAGAGCATTCACGCTACAACAAATAGTGCTGGAGAGGGCTTCATTTTTGCGTGCGTCTGTACAACTATCAACCTTTTCCGTTTTTTTCCATACTTATTTTGCCGTCTTGTTTCCTTCATCTACTTTTTTCTGTAGTTTTAACTGTCGTTTACACAATAAATACCTTTTTTTGCATACAGCGTAGCGAAAAAAATAACATGACCGTCCAATTTAACTTTGCGCATATGCGGCCTTGCCGACTGTCACAGAGTTTCGATGCATGAATTCTGCTGACAGTTATTGGTGGTCGAAACTGTCCCAACCAAATATTGCAATCGGTGTCCAAATTGATTGCTTGATTATAACCAACATGGCATATTTTTTCATCAACAGATGGACTTCAGTACGGTAAATATAATCTCGCTTAACACGAGTTCGATAAGAACATTTATTTATTTAACCAATCTGCTCAACCATCGTGGGAATCGCGGATGCGAATGAAACTGTCGTCTCACCTACCGTCATCATACACTTCCAGGAGCGCCTTGCCCTACCTAAGAATGGATTTGCCTGAAATGAATGCGAGTGAGATACCGCTGAGGTGTACAGTTTCTCTAACCGAATATCAGGCATTTTTTACACCCGCGCTCTATGCAACGCTCAGGAGTCCCTTGAGGGTAAATTAATGCCTTGGGAATGCTAAGGATGTTGTGTTTATTCCTCCAGTTGACGTCGGTTTAGAGGATTCGTTGTCGGTCATATGCCGAACTAGAATAGTGATTAAGAAATGAGAGTCACTTATCACCCATCCCAGGAACCTTCTTTGTTGTTCACTTGCAGGCATAATCCCCTTGCATCCTAAATTATAACGTCTAGGGACAGCAATTGCGGGGAGTTGCTTTTAGGTTCGTAACTGGACTTAAACTCCGGCCTTCAAACGTCCGGTGTGGTGAGTCTCGTAACAGCTTGCCAGGACTCCAAAGAAAAAGGTTTATTTTTCTCGTGCCTAAGCTGTATCGCTGCGTAGTTCCACTTCCAGGTCGTGTGCATATCACTTGCGCGGGAAGGTTGTTTACCAGTTCAGCTACAGCACAGAACAGACATGTAGTGTTGCGTTTTGGAGTCCTATCTAGCACCCAAGCGGGTCGCATAGCGATAATTAATGATACAGAAAACAGGTGAGACAGGTATAATCACTTCTGATCTATTAACCATCGTCAGCCAGTCATACTCGAACCCCAGCTCTGGATAGTCTTGTCCCCCGAACCCATAGTCTTGGTCGGTGAGCGTTAGGTCTAACATTCTGCCTTTAAGCCGTAATCCCGTCCCCTTTTCGAGTGAGATCAGAAATGATAAATATAATGGGAGGGTCGTTCATCCATCACCACCGTTATGGTGTTATAGTCTACGGACGATCTAGTTGTGACCAGTCACTCATGGGGAAACGAAACCGACTTATAGTGACAACGCTGATAAATGCAAGTGGTCCAGTGTAAGCTGAAGACAAATCGGGACTAGCATGTCCTGCACTGTGCCCACATTGATGCAGGATCTTCCCACAGTAATCAACCGACGGTACGAAGGGTCGTTGCTCAATGGTAGAGTGTTGGACGCAAAGTTCGAGGATCAAACAGCATAGGTTCTCCTCCTTCCCTGTCATTCAAACCTAGACTGATGTATGACCGTTTAACGAAAGTTTATGAGAAAGTAACAGCCATCTCATCCTCCTTTGTCATTGTCGGCAATCATTCAGCATGTATTCTGGTTTAAAGCTGGCAGGCTGAAGGTTGGTAGCTCACCAGCTTGCCTTGCACTTCATCTGCCTGTCCGCACTGAAGGACCGAAATGGGGGTTTTTCACTTTATTTTGGATCTTTGGATCTAGAACCTCCTCGAGCGGTTTCACATCAGCTAGTGTTTAAAAAATGCAGGACTGGTGACGGTTCAGTTCATATCACTTGTCAATGACACCCCAGCTCCATGCCGGTCTTTAGGGTGTAGGCCAGACTCAAGTGGCAATCGAGAATTTCGAGTTAAACGCGCCGACACGAGTTATGCGATGAGATCGGAAATATCCAAAGTAATATCAGAATGGAGTTTTTCTGTCTCTTCCGGACTCCGGCTTTTATCCCACGTAGTCTGGGCCTAGCATAGAGTATGCCTACCTGATTACAGCAGATGAACTAAAAAAGACTATGGCAGAAGGGTGCTCACCCACCAGTTAACGGGACATGCCCCCCCCCGGCTGTGCCTCGGTGTTCAGTCTTATGTCCCCGTACAGAGCCACACTGCGACTTGGAGTATATACAGAAAGGGGGTTATCGGCAATGACGACGCAGAACGGGATTGGCATTTATGGATTATTAGTCATCGTCAGCCACCTTAACTGTCCTTGGGTTTTTGTGGGACTGAGGTTCGAACGCTCTGACCAATAACAGCGCGACCGACAGGACGGTGAGCCCGTGACCCAGTGCTCCGTAACCCAGACTTACCAACGCTTAGCAGCTCAAAAACCTGAGGTCGATTAAGACTGACTGACGGCGGCCAGTATGCCCGTATCTGCTATTGTCTCTGATGATGAGTCCGAGCAGGAATCTGAAACGTCGGGCGGATAAAGCTCTTGTGCCAGCGATCGTGTCTCCTTTTTCATGACTGCTTCTGTGACTCGTCTCTTCGCTTCTATTTACATAGTCAGAAATATTTGTGCTCACGGAGAGTTGAGAGGATGCATATTACTTAGCCGCTGGATGCTTTGGCCAAAAGATAAACAGACCTAAAAAAGCGCTCAAGCCAATGTGTACAAAATATGGAAAGGCATCTAACGCCCTATCCTGCAGTCGTCACATCTGCGTGTCGGAACTGCATTTCACTTTATCGTTTTTCAGCATTCCATCTCAGCTGCCTTGCAACCAATGTTCAATTTACCTGGCCCTATTTTCATTCTCTCTTCGGAGAGATATACCACCCCCATCCCCTTAGTATACAATCGAAGGAGACCCACTGATTGCTACTATCCACGAAAGACAACAGACGACTCCGAGCGTCTTGGCTCATAAACCCTGGTTAAAGGTATGGAAGCGGAGACAAGTAAAGAACCTCATTTAGATGTGTATGAATAACATTTTAATAAAAAAGTAGCAAAGGCAATAAAATTGGCAATGAAGTTAGATATTCTTCAATCTGGGGGGTTCTGTGTGAATGTACCAAAACAGGGGGGAGTCTGTTCCAGCCACGTAAGACTAAGGATAAAAGATAATAAGTAGCTGCAAACTGACCGACTGTAACCGAACCTCTCCCTTCTAATTCAGCCAGCCCTCTTTGAACCGATTCTTCCGGCCATCGGACGGCGACCCTTCGTCGTGTAGGTGGGATCCCTGGGCATCCAACAATGCGGATTGTGGAGTCTTATATCAGTTTCAAGACCGATGGCACTTTGAATGTTGATTGGTAGCGCACTGCCGATAAACGTACGGTAGTTCTTCCCTCACCTCATCGTAGGCTCAAAAATGGACCACTGTAGTGGTGCAGACGTCGAGGATGTCGGTGTCATCAGAGGCGAGATTCCACTGAGGCTGAGGGGATCCCAAACAGAACCACTTGCGACAGCAGCTGGTAATGGCGACATCGGTGGACCCGTTCCCGAGACGGCGTAGTCGTAAGGAGAGGCAGTACCATAAGGGGGCAGTTTGTCTCTAGACAAAGGTGGACAGCTGCTGTTGATACTACTGTCATAGCCACTGTCTCCGGGACCGGAGAATGTATCCATTGTCCTCCTAAGTGGAGTTATGAAGTCCAGCGCCCGTCGTGGACCTGTCTCAGACTCACAGATACTCTGTTGGGAGTAGTAGCTCGGATAGTAGTATTCCGGCAGGATGGGTGACGGAAACTTTGGTTTGGCTGGCGAAGAGTTTTCACAGTGCGCCTGGCATCCGCCCTTGTCATCGCTGGTTGCGTGGGCGTCAGTCTGATACGCAAGGAAGGTGCTGGAAGAGGGTCCAGCAAAACCCAAGTCTGTGCCTACCACCCCGATCCGGCTGTTGTCCTGGTCTACCCCACCATTGGCACTGTCCGATGCCTCAGATGCGCTGTCTTCCAGGGGTTCACTAAGCACCCTGTCCAGATGTTCAATATACCAAATGGCCTTCTTTAGGGTGGAAATTTTGCTTAGCTGCTCGCCCTCCTTGGAGGGTACCACTGCGCGCAGGCGAGCAAAGCCGAGATTTAACAGTTTCACGCGATTTCGCTCTCGTTCGTTGCGTCGCGCGACGGGCACGCGCACTGTACTGCTGTCGATGCCTTTGGAAGAGAGAGCCAATTTGTTGGAGTTTTTAGCCCCCTTATGAGGGTTTGTTCGGGAGCAGCGTTTCCTGATGGATTTATCTGAGCTTTCCCCTGCCGCACGGGGGATGTTTTCCTTGTCGTCTAGTGGACTTAGTGGCACGTGGAAAGTAGGCACACAAGTACTGGAATCGTAGAGTAGATGTGTGAACCTCTGATCGGGATCCTGTAGGGGCTGCAGGGGCATGCCAGCGGATGAGCCGTCGGTAGCAGAAGATATTTGCTTTTTCTGGTAGAGGTGATAGGGTGGATCGGGGTGGTAGGCACAGTCGACTTGGGTTTGCTCGAGGAGTTGCGTAAAGCTGGTGCGGCTGAAGACGAGGTCCCGGTTTATATAGGTGGTGATGAAAAAGCGCGAGCAAACATCCCCCCCCCGCCGCCGCCCACCTCTATCTTCCCCACCCACCACCCCCCGCCCCCCACAAGAACGGCCGAACTCCCCTTCACAGAGTCTGTCCACGAGGCCTGGTTCCTCTTCTGGCATACACGTGCGCGAATTGCAGCCCCGGGTCGTTCCGTCCAATAAGAATTGGGCTAGGCATTATCCAATAGACTGTGTCCAAGGGAATAAATTTCCACGTGCAGCCCGGGCCAATACCATTCCAAAAGGGACCTGCGCGTGCCATGCGAAGACATGGTCATCTGGGAGTAAAATGGGACGCTGCTTGTTGGTTCCTATACAACCAAACCTGCCAAAGTTCTCTCTAGAGCCATTTGCCAAATAAAATTGTTTGCCGTATACCAGAAAGTTCAGGGGCTGTGATATCTGGGCATTTTACGACGCACCTATCCTCAGTTTGGCTGAAAGCTCGAAATTAGACGAAAAAAATTAGTGAAGTTGCTATTCCCCTTTGCAACTAAGGTACCCAGACTCCGTGAAAAAATAATTAGATGGGCTTTATCAGCTTTGGTAGACAATCCAGCTACCGCACCTGAATATCCTGTGAAGTGCCATCATAATAACTGCTGATGACATGACACGTTTAAGGCATTCCTACTTTTCATGCAAGTATGTGTAGACTGAAGCCTGAATACGCTTCCATCCAAAGATGACATTCTGATCTGAGTGAAGCAATTATTCCGTGTTTGTCGCTGTACCAAACTTGGCACAGCTTTAATATTTGGATTAACCAGAATAATCCATGGTAATATCAGACTGTGGCAAATGAATTAAAACGTGGCACCGACTGTTAAAATTGCTACCAAGCATTGTGCATTGTGACGAATATCATGCGCAGCTCCGATCGAGTGGCTGCGGCGTTTTCAGGGAAGTTGACCCGTTAGATCGTCTGGAACTATATCTCAATTAGTAGCGTTTCCTAGGTTGAAATACACGTTCCACATTCATTAGCCAATCCTCTAGCCGTCTATGACTTTTTCAGATTCCATGAGAACCAGGCGTTCACACGTTGCAAGTCCCTGCAGCGTACCATTGGCGGGTTTAGTATGAACACAAGACAAGACGATTTTACAACTACAAGGCCTAGACCAAGAACCTGCATAGATGTCACGTTACACCCATTCACAAACGCCGTAGGCGTACTCATGCGACCAAATACAGACTCGTCAGCGACACCTCGCTGCCCTGTAAAATTATGGAGAAGACTACCAAAGAGAAATTGACCACTTATCCGAATTCCCCACTCTCTTGTGTGGTGCACCGTACGGCTTTCAAAAACGGAAGATTGTTTATTATAAATTTGTTTTACACGATGCACAGAGGGCTAACAACATACGCTGAAAAATCCATCATGCCTACAGCACACTGGTTTTTGGAAGGCCATCAATGGTGTTCCTCACCAACAACTCCCGTAAAAGTTGAGGGTAACGGGCGTAAGAGGCGGTTTCCTCAAATGGATGGAAAATTTACTCATCGGTCGTTGTCAAGTTATCTTTGTAGGGCAACTGCAACCAAGGCTTACAGTCAAAGAGAGTGCAGTCCCACAAGGTTCAATGCCGGAACTGGTCCCCTCTTCCTTCGGCTTATTAACGATTGCGTACGAGACTTGCGCTGCAAGGGTGCCATGTTTTCGGACGATGCATAAATCTGGAGAGTCCTTCACAATGCTATCGTTCATTAAAACCTTTGTCGACTAAAAGTGTTCCCGATGATAGACCCCGTCATTTAACTCGAACAATTGTACAATTATGTGTCTCGGAAACTAAAATCCGGTCCCTGATACTCGCACATCTCATATGAACGGAATGTCGCCCCTATAAGCAGAAACACGGAGTGATCTCGGCGTTTGAATGGTGAGCACTATAAGCCATTTACTCACACTTATAAGGTGGCCAAAGCCAAAACTTCACTGATGTACGCCATCAGACGAAGACTGCTTCCTCAAAATCTTTGGTGTCTTTGTGAGGCCGCACCCTGAATACGCAATCCAGGCCTGGAAACCGAGGACAGAGTAGAGTTGTAGTCTGAACGGAAGGCTTTAGTGACTAACCACCAATGTAGTCAGAGGTCATAGAGCACCACTGTATGCGACCCGTCTAAATAACGTAAATCTCTATTTTCCAGTTATAGGCTATCGCGCGAGGACTTGACACAGACCTCCCGCACGGTTCGTGGTTTGAGCTGCGTCCACTGTGGTGACTTATTCTACTCGCCAAACCCAACCAATGTCTGTGGGCATCCTTCCAATATGCCCCTGCCCGAAGGAAGACTGGATGGGAAAAATTATTTTTTTCACAAAGTGTCTGGTAGAATTATGAAATAGACTGCCCGTAACGATTATTTTATCTCAGCCTGTGGAAGCATTCAAACATCGCGTTCACAGGTGCATGCTACATCAAAAAGCGCACAACGAGACTACGTAACCTCGAAAAGTAGAAGTCTGCTTCCACCTGATATTGCAGTTTGCTCAAATTATTGTTAATTCTTATAGTTAGTTTTTGACAAGCAAAAATAATGGTGTCTTTGAAAATGCTGAATAATTCATTTTCGACCCAAATGGGACAGATTCGGCGCTCTCGGTGGGATTCGAACCCACGGGAGAAAGGACAAGGCCTGAGCACAGCCAAAACTCTAACTGACTGAGCTACGAGGTCGCGCCGGTAGTCTTGAGTTTAGT